TAGGCTCCACCCTGAAATCCCGTCCCATCTGTAACTGCGAAATGCGACAACAAAATAGATCACAAACGAAAGAAATGGAGGACAAAACGTGTCTGGATATAGAGTTCAAATCTACGCTTATTAGGTTTTTCAAGAATTTCCTAGAAAAGATGGATAAGACCTATGAGGATATGAAAAGAGATCAACTAGAATTAATAAGGAGTCAACAAGAAATGATAAGGGATCAACAAGAAATGATAAGGGATCAACAAGAAATAAAGAATACATTGTCTGAAATAAAAAATATTATACAGAGTCCTAAGAACAGAATGGAAGATCGCAAGAATCAAGTCAAAGATTTGGAACATAAAGAGCCAGAAAACACTCCTCCACAGAAGCTAGAAGGCAAGAGAATCCAGAAAATTGAAGATAATGTAAGAAACCTCTGGGACAACTTCAAGCGAACCAACATCAGAATTAAAGGGGTCCCAGAAGATGAGAGAGAGCAAGATATCGAAAACATACTGAAAGAAATAGTGACAGAAAACTTCCCCCACCTGGGGAAAGAATTAGACTTACAAGTCCAGGAAGCGCACAGACCTCCAAACAAAAGGAATCCAAAGAGGACCACACCAAGACACATCATAATTTAAATTCCAAGAGCAAAAGACAAAGAGAGAATATTAAAAGCAGCAAGAGCAAAGAAGGTAGTTACCTATAAAGGAGCACCTATACGATTGTCAGCTGATTTCTCAACAGAAACCATGCAGCCAGAAGGGAATGGCAAGAAATATTCAAGGTGATGAATAGTAAGAACTTACAGCCAAAGATAATCTATCCAGCAAAGCTATCACTCAGAATCGAAGGTCAGATAAAGAGCTTCACTAATAAAAAAAAGCTAATGGAGTTCATCACCACCAAACCAGAATTATATGAATTGCTGAAGGGGGTTCTTTCAGAAGAGAAAGTAAATAAAGATAAAACTTATGAACAACAAATACGTAACTATCAACAAGTGAATCTAAAAACCAAGGAAATTAAAAAAAAAAAAATCTGATGAACAATATTAACTGTTGAATATAATAGAATCAGAGGTATGGAAGGGGAGTGAACTGATGATTCTTGGGGAAAAGGGGAGAGGGGGATGTGGGAAGAGACTGAACATAAACTGTGCACCTATGGATGAGGACAATGGGGAGTGGGGAAAGGGCAGTGGGTGGGGTGGGAACCTGGTGGAGGGGGAAAAAAATGAGGAACTTTTGTAATAATATGAACAATAAAGATTTATTAAAAAAAAAAAAAAAACTACCCACCAAAAAAATACCTAAAAAACTAAAACTAAAACAAAACAAAAAACAATATATAAGTGAGCAGCTGTGACTACAGTCCAATAAAAACTTTATTTACAGCCAGTTAGCATCAGCCTGCAGACTGAAAGGTCCCAGGTTCGATTCCGGTCAAGGGCATATACCTTGGTTGTGGGTACATCTCCAGTAGGGGGTGTGCACAAGACAGCTGATAGATGTTTCTCTTTCATTGATGTTTCTATCTCTCTATCCTTCTCCTTTCCTCTCTGTAAAAAATTAATTTAAAAAAAAAAAGGCTAACCACAATTACCTGCCCTGTTAGTAATTTGTGATCAGATTACCTATGAGGTTTCTTTCTATAGAAACAACCCCCCCCCCCTTTTTTTTATCCATACCTTGGATTCAAATGTGCCAACTTTGTATATTTTCTTTCTGTAGAATAGCAATATCCATTTTCTAGGCCAAATATTTAGCAAATTCAAATTTGACTAAAAGTTGTGTGACGGGAAAGTTACCTAACCTCTCTTGGCGTTAGTTTCTACTTGTGATATTTGCAGATTAAATGAGATAATGTATGTGAGGCAGCGATATAGACATTCAATAAATAGTATTTCGATTTGTTGTTGTTGTTTTTTAAATATATTTTTATTGATTACAGAGGAGAGGGAGAGACAGAAACATTATTGATTGGTTGTCTCCCGCATGCTCGCCACCAGGGCCAGGAGCCTGAAACTGTAGGTGCCTTTAACAGGAATCAATCCAAGGACCCTTCAGTCAGCCGGCCCATGCTCTATCCACTGGGCAAAATCGGCCAAGGCATGAATGTGCTTTCTTTTCCCTTTCCTACTACGTGGTGGGCACCGAGGAAGGCCGATTCCTGCTTAAGTAGTAGTATCAAGGACCAAGTGTCAGGGGCAGAAATAGAATAGTGGGGACTAGCAGTAGTTATAAAAAATATTAATCATGCCCTGTTAACTGATTGTTTCGTTCTGATGAAAGGGAACCTCCCAGTTGGAGCAAACCCGGTGTAGTGAGGTCGGGTTCCAGCGTGGCTCCCTCAAGCAGGAGGAGTGAAGAGAGCAGGGAGCTTTTCAGGGACCGCGGAGAGGGGAGGGTAGTGGGAGCGCCCAGCACGCTCACTGCGCGTCTGAAGCGGGTCTGGGACCAAACGGGGCGCCTCCTGAGAGCGCGAGGAGCCAGGGGCGGCGCTGGAGCGCAGCCAGCCAGGCCCTCCCAGAAAGGGCCCCAGCTGACCGGAAACACCCGTTCGGGCGAACGGAAATAACGCAGCGCGGAGACCCCGCCCCCGAAAGGGCCGGATCTTGGGACGCGGGGGCGAGAGGGCGGGGCGGGCCTTGGGGCGAGAGGCTCTTCCGCGGCCATTGATTGGCTGGCCCCTGCCCGTGGCGGCAGCGGTGGCGGCGCCGCGTGGCCCGACCTGGTGAGTCCTGGGTTCGAGCCTTAGCTCTAACTGCTCCTCGGTGCGGTTCCGATCCCCGGACCGGCTCCAATCTCGGGCCTCCCTCCCCCTGGGCGCGCTTCCGCTCCTCTGGTCCCCGCCGTCTGGCCCAGCCCCTCGGGGACTTGTGCGGGAGGAGGGGTCTCTCGAGACCTGAACGGCTCCATCGGGAGGGGAAGGGGCTGTGGCTGGGAGAACGGCGCCTAGAAACGATAGGACTCGGTGAGAGACGCCCAGAGACCTCGAGCCCTTCGGGTTGGGGTGCGCACCTGAGGCCGCGGAGGATGAGGACGGGGAGGAGAGGCGGGCGGCGCGCGAGGGGCGGGAGCGCGGGTGCGGGTCCTGGGTGGGTCCGGAATTTGGGGGTGAGTGGGGCGCAGGCGCAGCTGGAGCAGGAAGCCAACCATGCTGCGGTGGGAACCCTTACGGACTGCACCGTGGAGGAATGGGCGCAAAGAGCAGGAGGCAGCAGGGGCAGTGTAGAGAGCCTCCCCAGTATCCAAAGCTGCGATTACGATTTTTTTTGTGTTTCTCAGAAGAGCAGAAACCCACAAATTGTATTATAGAAGTGTTCAGACTTACGCAAAAGTACAGAAAGTAGCTCGGCATTACGGATTCCAAGTACTTATCACCTATCCTCAACCACAAATGGCCACCCTAGTGGCATTATGTGTGTTAAGACAAGCCTCAGATCAAGTATTGCTATGTTATCTTAAGTAAAAAAAAAAAGAAAAGAAAAGAAAAAAAAAGTTCTTTTCCTGTACATTTTGCAAGATGAAAAGAGTTCTGAAAATTGAACAATAATGTGAATGTACTAAACACTACTGAATTGTGTGCTTAAAATGGTTTAAGATGGTAACTTGAGTTTTTAATCACAATTTTTGAAAGTTCCTTTCAAATTAAAAAATCTAATGCTGTAAATTAAGAAAAAAATCGGACCTCAAGTGTGCAATGGAAGTAACTCATTGCCAAGTAAAGGCCCATAAAGGTCTATTTTTAACTCTAGAGGCTCTGGAATGAACCTGTTGGTTTTGGTGCTCAGAGCAGTGGGACCTGCACTGAGGTGAACTTGAAGCACTGTCGTGCCCAGGGAACTAAAGGGTTAGGCCTGTCCAGCTAGCTGTCTCTCAGATGTTTCCCTTTTCTTCTGAGGCACACCTTTAACTTTTGGGTAAGCTACCTTTATTCATAGAAGAGTGAAGTGTGAATTCACCTCCTTCTCTCCACTTTAATTCTTTTTTAAAAAAAATATATATATTTTATTGATTTTTTTACAGAGAGGAAGGGAGAGATAGAGAGCTAGAAACATCGATGAGAGAAACATCGATCAGCTGTCTCTTGCACACCCCCTACCAGGGATGTGCCCGCAACCAACGTACATGCTCTTGACCGGAATCGAACCTGGGACATTTCAATCTGCAGACCGACGCTCTACCACTGAGCCAAACCGGCTTCGGCCACTTTAATTCTTTAGGGCCTACCTGGGTAGTCTTTCTCCAGTCTGACATATACTCTCTCTTCTCCCAAAGATACCACATGTCAGTCCTTCACATTTCTAAAGCACATGGTATTAGCTAGTAGACAACCTTCTACATTCTATACATTCTTGCTATCTTTTTTATTTTTTAGCTATCATTTTTTAAGTGAGTCCTAAGTGGGTAGTTCTGAAAACCTTCTTTGGCCCACTCCAAACAAAACAAACTATAAAAAGAGAAAGTAACTGCTAAATTTGAGCTTTTGGTAGGGGTCCCAGAACCAATATTTTTTCTAGAGCTAAATTTTCTTAATGTTTATTAGAGAATTAAACAACCAGTTGGATAAAATTTGCATCAGAAAGTTATGTTAGTTAATGAGTAATGATTAGAGTTATTAAGGAAAAAGTTAGGTACTTGGATCACATCACTGGTTATCAATGGTTTTAAGAAGGAATTAATGACAGAACCCCCGGTAATGGATGGCAAAGAGCAAAATAGATTGAATCATAAGGTGAGATTGCTTAGTGACAAATGTTTAAGTTTATATCTATACACTCAGAGTTATCAGAAGGATCATTATTAAAATACCTGTAGGAAATACCATAATTGCTCATCTGTAACTCTTTTACCTTTAACTTTCATTTTTTCCATGGAAACCATTATGATTTTGGATTAAGTAAATTTTTTTTTTTAGCCATGTAGATACCATGTTATAACTGCCTGTATACAGGAAGTAATATAAAATGAATGAACCATCTTATATTTTCCTTTATAGGGAAAATGGAAGAACTGAGTCAAGCTCTGGCTAGTAGCTTTTCTGTGTCTCAAGATCTGAATAGCACAGCTGCCCCGCACCCCCGCCTGTCCCAGTACAAGTCCAAGTACAGTTCCTTGGAGCAGAGTGAGCGGCGTCAACAGTTATTGGAACGGCAGAAATTGTAAGAGATGCTTTGACTCTCTGGCTTTTTTCTCCAGGCTTGTGAACTTGTGAACAGTTCAGAAAACTGTAGGCTCACTTCTACAGAATTCTCTTCAAAGTAGACCCTTTGTAGGTTGATTGATCATCTTATCCACAAGGTTGTGAGGAATAAATTATGGCAGAGGTAGTATCATCCACAGCTTAGAAAAAAAGATGAGGAAGTTTGAAAGTAAAAATTCAATTATTTGGTTAAATTTTTCTTTTTTCTTTTTTTTTTCCTGGTAGCAGTACTGAGCTTTGTAATGTATGGACTTTTGAAAGTCACGCCCAGACTTCCACTACCCACATTCCCTGTGTAGCTTCTCCACATTCTGAATCCTGGCCTTGGTGTGTGCTTCCTGTCTGCCTACAGCCTAGATGTTTCTGTAGTGACCTTGGGAGCTCTAGACAAAAAATCCCACAGGGAACCTGAGGAAATGTCTTCCATGCACATAATTCTCAGTGCCACGATGAGCATACAGGAAAAGAGAGCAGGATAGGAATGTTTGAGTATGCTTCTCTGAAGGCAAGGCCTGTCCTTGTATTCTCAGTGCAACTTGGGTCTTTTCTGGGTAATCAGTTAAGGAATTGACAATAAGAGGAGGTATTAACAGCTGCACAGTTTTTGTACCATCTGTATTTTGCCCAGTGTTGCATCACTGCACGTATTTAGCAGAAATGGTTCCCTGTAGTCTCTGGGTTGCTTGCAGATTACCTTTTCAGATTACCCCATGTTCCCTCTTACACAAACAAAAAAAACACCACACTATAATTTATATATTTTGAATTTTGAACAATGAATACATGTAATGAATGTATTACCCATTGCAAAATAATTGGTGAAAAGTCTTCCTCCTAATTCTTTCCCCTAGCTATTCAGTTTATCTCTTATATTATTAGTTTCTTATGTATCCTTTCAAAGATATTCTCTGCAAAATGAGCAAGTGTGTGATGACCTTTTTTTAAATACTCATTTGAAGATTTTTTTTATTTTATTTTAATTATTGATTTGAGAGAGAGAGAGGAAAACATCTGTGTAAGGAGAAATATCGACTGGTATATTCCCTGACTAGAAATTGAATCCATACCCTTTTGATGACTAGAACTACCTCGCCTGGAGACATTTTTTTTAGGTAGCAAATATAGTAAGTATATTGTTCTGAACATTTAGTTAACAGTGTGTTTTTGCAGAAATTCTATATCAGTTAAGTTCCAGGTATTCCATTGAATGGACAGGTCATGATATAATAATCGAAGCAGTTCCCTACTGATGGGCATATGGGTAACTTCCTCTTTTTCTTTAATATATTTTTTATTGTTGAGAGTATTACCCATATCTACTTCCTCTTTTAAAAAAAAATATATATATATGTAAATATATATATAATTCAGAGAAGAAGGGAGAGAGAGAGAAACATCAATGATGAGAATCATCAATTGACTGTCTCCTCCATGCTCCCTACTGAGGATCAAGCCTGCAACCCTGCCCAGAAATTTAACCATGATCCTGGTTCATAGGTTGATGCTCAACCACTGAACAACACCAGCTAGGCAGGTATTTTGTTTTATGTTTTTTTAGTTCTCTTATGCTTAAAACAATGCTTGAGAAATAACCACAGAAATGCATCCTTTTGTACATGTACAAGCACACCGGCTCTTATCTAAATGCAAGAGGCCTAGTGCGTGGATTTGTGCACATTGAAAGGAAATTAATTAGAAGAAATATTTTAATATCACTATTCACATTTTCTCTATAATAGAAGCGTCAACCAAATTCACAATCGACAATGACAGATGCATGCATATAATTGGTGCCAGCATATATATAGATAAACTTGCTTAATTAGACCTGCTTTCTGATGTAGCTAAACTTTTTCCAGCACAGTGAAGCATCCCAACTTCTCTTTCAGGTAATTGTCAGCAACATAGGAGTAAATATTAACATGAAGCAAGTTATTATTGTAGATCACGCAGGGAGAACAAAGGGTAAAATATTTAACTGCAGCAGTGTTTGACTATATTCTGTGCCGGGAGAAAACCTGAAGTCATTTTCAAGGTCCACCGTTTCTTCTTTTTAGTCAGGTCAAGTTTCTAAACTTTCCAAATCTTCGTTTTCCAGCTAATGAAAAGAAAATAGAATTCCACCAAGTCTCCTATCCACCTACTCTAGGACTTCTGTGATGATCAAAAGAGATGAGGCACAGGAAAACGCTTCATAGACATTTGGTTAAAGAGTGAAATGTTTGCACCTGGCTATAAAGCAAGTCGTGTTCCTGGGCTAAGGAAACTCCAAGAAGGCTAGTCGCTAGGGAGAGGAAGCCAGGCGTTGCTATGTGACGTGATTACCTGGCACCCACAAGCGACTGTTTCCAGGTTGGGCTGGGCTGGGCTGTGGGCTGCATTTTGTGCCATGGGGTTTTGACAACATCAGCTGTGATTTGGTGGGCTGTCACTTCAGGGTGATGGTGGGACCTGTGTCCCACTTGGGGGAAGCCGAGTGTTGTTTTGTGGGTGCCAGGTCCATAGTGCCGTTTCTTTGTAAATGGTCAGTGCCTGTTATGGCAGCTCCTGCATTGAGATGGATATAAAAGGCTAAGTGATTATCTGACCGGTAGCTATGATACACACTTACCACCAGGGGGCAGGTGCTGCTGAGCTGCAGTGACTTGGCAGCAGTTCTCAGGTGACACACCCCAGAACCAGGAAGGATCAAGTCTGATTCCTGGGTGCATCACCAGAGACTGCCTTGTCACACTCCTGCACCCCTAGAGGGCTGTTGGAGAGCTGGTGTGGCCTGATCTCCGCAGGCCAGGCTGAGGGATCCCACCTGCCAGAGGGACCTCACTCACTCTACAAACACCCTTCGAGCCATGGCACCACCCCAGGTGTGTCCAAACTCTCACCTAGCCCCACCTTGCGGCCACCTTCTAATTATCGATAATTTTCTTTCAATGTGCATGAACAGGGCACTAGTCTTTAAATAAAAGACCATTGTGTTTGCATATGCCTTCTCTCATGTTCACCTTTATGTGCATGAACATGTATGTTTGAGAAACCAGATGAGTTGGTCTCATTGCCTCAGTGCTTGATCCCTTAGTTGATTCTTAAACAAGGATCAAACCTGCAATCTTGGTGTATCAGGATGATGTTCTAACCAACTGAGCTATTGGGCCAGGGCTACTCTACAAATCACTTTGGAACAATTAGGTTTCAAAGATTACTGTTCTCATTTCCCAAATTTTGTACAATATGTAATTTTTTTTTTTTTTTTTTTAAAGAGGCATATAATACCTGGCTGGCATGGCTCAGTGGTTGAGCATCAATCTATGAACCAGGAGGTCATGGTTCAGTTCCCGTCAGGGTTTTGGTCTCGATCACCAGTGTGGGGCGTGCAGGAGGCAGCCCATCAATGATTCCCTCTCTCTCTCTTTCTCTCTCTCCCCACCCTCCCTCTCCCTCCCTTCCCTCCCTCTGAAATAAAAAAATATATATTTTTTCAAAGAGGAAGATAATGATAGAGGGAAATAAAGAAGTTATTGAATTATAAACTAAATGATTGTTTTTGAAAACTAGACAGGAGTTTGAGAAAGGCCTAGCTGCTCCTCATAAAACAGTTTAAAGCAGAAAGCCCTAAAAGCTGTCGTTTTAAAATTCACACTGCTGCTTATGCCTTTTCTTTCTCTAGCAAGCGGCTGGATTATGTGAATCATGCCAGAAGACTGGCTGAAGATGACTGGACAGGGATGGAGAGTGAGGAAGAAGATAAGAAATGTGATGAAGAAATGGACATTGACACTGGCAAGAAGCTACCAAAACGCTATGCTAATCAAGTGAGTATTCCAGAGATCAGGCGCAGCTAGTCCCATTTGCTTTACTGTGCCTTCAGCCCCCACTAAAATAAATGTTGCCATAAAGAGAGGAGGAGGAGGCAGGAAAAGGAATGGAAACTGCAAAGAAAATGCTGATGTTCAGGAAGTTTACAGATACAGAGAAGAGATGAAGAGTGCCCTGTGCCGAGCAGGGATCACTGATGGGTACTGTGAGTAGTGAGTTTGGAAACCCTTACCCCAAGCTCACAACGATATACTAATGAATTCCATGCACTTGTCACTTCTTTAATAGTCATTGCATAGCTGTTCTAGATCGGACCTGCCCAGCCCAGCACTGCCTCACCACACCTCCCAGATTGGTAATCTTTCCCAAGCAGAGGACTAAGATGGCAATCTTGGATCTTCACATTCAGGTGGTAGGAAATGGGAAGTGTAGCTGCCCTTGAACATAAGGAGCCTGCATAACCACCCAAGCCACCCAGTTGGGCTTTGTGAGGCTGAGACAATGAAATAACAGATCACTCTTCAAACTTAACTAATTGCCCTATTGATTCCAAACAGGAAACCAATGTGGCTTGTGGCACCATTGGGGGAGCAGGCATGGAAACTGTCCAGTGCTCTAGGTCCGTGGTTGGCAAACTGCAGCTCTCAAGCCACATGTAGCTCTCTGGCCCCTTGAGAGTGGCTCTTCCACAAAATACCATGGCCTGGGCCAGTCTATTTTGAAGAAGTGGCAATAGAAGAAGTTTAAGTTTAAAAAATTTGGTTCTCCAAAGAAATTTCAATTGTTGTACTGTTGATATTTGGCTCTGTTGACTAATGAGTTTGCCGACCACTGCTCTAGGCAGTCCAGGTATTCCAGAAGGCAGGGAATGGAATTCCAGAAGGCAAGTATACCCTGCTATTGTATACTTCTTTCCATAGCCTATGTGTCTTGTCGTCTCAATCTTTTCCCATTTTTAGAATATGGTTCCTGGGTGTACATACTCTCATCTTTCTTTTCTGCCCTAGATACAGCCCAAATAATATCTTTTATGACAGTATTGTTCAGCAAGTATGGTTGAAGGCCCTGTGTTATGCTAAGCTATGCTGTGGGAACGTAGATATGGGTCAGAAATAACCCCTATACTCCTGGAATAACTATAGAATATGTTTTTGCTGTAAGAAAGAGGTTAACTTCCAACAGGCTAGGAGGCAGGGTTGTGAAATTGAGAAAAAGTTAGTAAACAAGGAGCCAGCTTTGAAACATGGATAGGACATTGATAGGCAGAGGTGCAGGGCATACCAGACAGCAGGAACAGGCTAGGCAAGAGTCCAGAGGTGGGAGAGGGGTATATGGTATGTTCAGGAGTGATGACAATGGTGCAGCATAGGGTGAGAGGAAGGAATACATAGAAATATGTGCAAGGGTGTTGGTTGTGTTTTAGATTGTGGGAACCACTGAAAATTTTTGAGCCAGGGGACAGCTGGGACTTCTTGTGAAGACACCCACATCAATGTGTCGAAGGGTCTGGAAGAGAAAGATTGGGATAGGGAGCTTAGGTTTGCTAAAACAGTCTGATGATAGGCAATGAAGATGGGAAGGAAATGAGGGCATGAGTATGAAAAATGTAAAAAGTTCATCTGTGTTGTAGCATCTGTATTCAAAGTTCATCTGTATTGTAGCATGTGTTCATTTTTGTGAACACATTTTCCATTCATCAGTTAGGCCATTTAAGTTATTTCCACTTTTTGGTTATCATGATCTGCTCTAAACATTCATTTACAAGTTTTTTCATGGTCATGTTTTTATTTCTCTTGGATATATACCTGGGAGTTGAATTACTAGTTAATTCTATGTTTAATCCTTTGAGGACTGCCAAACTATTTTCCAAAGTAACTGCACCATTTTATATTTTCACCAATAGCATATGAGAGTTCCAATTTCTTCACGTTTGTCAATACGTGTGTGTGTGTGTGTGTGTGTGTGTGTGTGTGGGGGGGGAAAGGAGAGATAAAAACATCAATGAGGAGAGAAAATCATCTATTGGGTGCCTCCTGCATGCCCCCTTCTGGGGATCAAGCCTGCAACCAGGCATGTACCCTGACTGGAAATTGAATTATGTCCTCAACCACTGAGCCATACCGGCCAGGCTCCTGTTGTTTCTAAGAGGCTTTGTTTAGATCTTTGTCCACCTAATGGTATATTTAACTTCACGTTTAGGTGCGTTCCAAGTCAGCACTTCTATTATGCACAGCACTGGAGGTGTTCAAACTCTAGACACTTTTTCGTCTTTTTTTTTTTCCTCCAAGGAAGAAAACTTTTAAACTTGGGCTACAAATTATAGTAATCTCTTCTAGGTTTTAGTTGGATTACCTTTGAGCCTTTTGCTTTCTGCAGGATCTATAACAAATCAAGTGATAGGCAGGTGATTTCATCTGACAAGTCCTTATTTTTTAAAAAAAATATATTTTATTGATTTTTTACAGAGAGGAAGGGAGAGAGATAGCTAGAAACGTCGATGAGAGAGAAACATTGACCAACTGCCTCCTGCACACCCCCTACCGGGGATGTGCCCGCAACCAATGTACATGCCCTTAACCGGAATCGAACCTGGGACCTTTCAGTTCGCAGACCAACGCTCTACCACTGAGCCAAACCAGCTTCGGCTGGCAAGTCCTTGTTTTTAATAGCAACCTCAAATAAAGTGACAGGAGTACACAGATAGGATTGGAAAGGAAAGAAAGGCATTCATTGTGGTAGGAATTAATTCATCTAAAGTAGGAATTAATTTTTAAATAAATGCTCTATTTTATAAAAACACTTATATATTGTGTTTTTTTTGTTTTGTTTTGTTTGTGTGTGTGTGTGTGTGTGTGTGTGTGTGTGTGTGTGTGTATGTTTTTAAGTAATTCTTTATTCTGTTTTTATTTATTTATTTATTTTTTTGGTTAATCTTTACCCAAGGATATTACTCCATTGATTTTTAGGGAGGGTGGAAGTGAGAGGGAAAGACAGAGATATATTGATGTGTGAGAAACACATCAATTTGTTCCCTGGCCTGGGAGGAGCCTGCAACCAAGGTATGTGCCCTTGACCGGAATCGAACCCTGGACCCTTTGGTCTACAGGCTGACGTTCTATCCACTGAGCAAAACCATCTAGGGCTTAAATAATTTTTTTTTTATTATTGAAAGTATTACATGTGTCCCCTTTTTTCTCCCATTGACCCCCTACAGCCTGTCCCTACCCCTCATCCCTCACCCCAGGCCTTTAGCACCCTATTGTCTGTGGCTATGGGTTATGCAAATATGCATACCAGATCTTTGGTTGGTAACCTCTTGCCCACCTATTCCTACGCTTTCCCTCTGAGATTTCGCCCTCTGTTTCATGTTTCCATGTCTCTGGATCCACTCAGTTCAATGGTTTATTTTGTTACTTAGATTCCACATATGAGTGAGATCATGTGATATCTGTTTCTCTGACTGACTTATTTCACTTAGCATGATACTCTCCAGGTTCCTCTATGCTGTCTCAAAGGGTAAAAGAGTCTTTTTTTACTGCTGCATAGCATTTCGTGGTATAACTGTACCACAGCTTTTTTTATCCACTCATCTACTTTTGAGCACTTGGGCTGTCTCTAGATCTTAGCTATTGTAAATTGTGCTGCTATGAACATAGGGGTGCATACATTCTCTCTGATTGCTGTTTTCGGTTTCTTGGGATATATTCCTAGAAATAGGATCACTAAGTCAAATGGCAGTTCCATATATTTAATTTTTTTGAGGAAACACCATACAGTTTTTCATAATGGGGATCTAGAACCGATTGCACCAGTCTGCATTCCCACCAGCAGTGTACTAGGGTTCCCTTTTCTCCTCATCATTGCCAGCTCTTGTCACCTGTTTATTTGTTGATGGTAGCCATTCTGACGGTTACTTTTTCATCTTTTACACTATTTTCCTAGTAAATACTCAGGTCTGACATGATGGACAGTTGTGTGTACTTGGTCAGAGTAGAAGTAAAGGATTTCAGATCTATTAGAGGCCCACTGTGGGCTCCTCCTCATCTGAAGGTCTGCTTCTCAGTCTGGCCCATGGTCATGGGGGCTTGTCTCTGGCAGCTGACCTTTACTACTGAGAAGAATAGTCATTTCTGTTACTGGACAACTGCTAGGTCACACTCTGAGGAGCAGCCTATGCAGGCCTCTGCCACAAGCCCAAGCTGCACACTCCTGGCAGGGGATGCTACACCAGCCCAGAGGCCTGGTGAGGGCTTGTTACACAGGCTTATGTGGCTTTTACTTCACTCTTAACGCACCAACACTTCTGTGGAATTCATTCCTTAAGGACGCCTATGACAAAGTCTTATCTCTGGTATAAGTTAAATACAGTTTTAAAAACCTGAAAATAACAAAAAGTGTCAGGAAGTAGCCTGGATCTAGAGGTGACATGTCCCACCCATTAGCTGCTGAGGCAGTTTGTGGCCTCAGTGTTAGGAAAACAGAATTTCTCACTTAAGCTGACTGTGCTCTACCAAAAGCCCTGGGCTGGAGGAGACCAGGTCAGTCTCTGTAAGGCCCAGGATGCAGACTTTCACTTTTTAAATGGGAAACAAACTTTACATATGCGTTAAAAGGTACATGCCAAATACTTAAGTATAGATGGAACGCTTTGGTTTCTACTTCTGCCTACTAACTGGACAAGGTAAGGTTTGCTGGTGTTGGGACTGGCAGACCAGGCCCCTGAAAGCAGCAATGTTCTCTGCTCACTCAAGGTTTGCTCATTCAGGCTAACCTTATTGTCTGCCAGATGTTGGCTCCTTTCCTCATCATTGAAGTAAATAGTGTGTCCCAGCCTATTTCTGAAATCAGTTCTCAACTGTGTGGTTTAGGGAAGGGAGGAAATCTAGAACCTCATCCCAGCGAGTGAACTTCCTGCAGAAGTAATTGAGTTGTGCTGCAGGGGTTGAGGGTGGGGGTGCCCTATCATTAGGCCCTGGTCACAGCTCCCCATCAGGTTTGCAGGCTTGGGGATAACTGAGCTGGGTGGAGCCCCACGCAAACCTGGCCTTAGAGGCCTTGGACCAGCAGTCCAGTTTCTGTTCTCCACCTGAGCTGCTGGCACAGTATCTCATGTAACAAAAATATAAAATTAGGGAATTTTATGATTTCTGTAAGTTTAATAAGTTAGGGCTCTAGCTGGTTTGGCTCAGTGGATAGAGGGTCGGCTTGCGGTCAAGGACACATGCCCAGTTGCAGGCTCAATTTCCAGTAGGTGTTGTGCAAGAGGCAGCCGATCAATGACTCTCATTGATGTTTCTGTCTCTCTCTCCCTTCCTCTCTGAAATCAGTGGGGAAAAAAATATTTAAAAAATAAATAGATATATTTTCAAGTTAAGTTTTCTCCTGATGTTAGGCAACTCCTGGGTTCCTCCATCTTTTGGTCATTCTCCCTGCATTGGGGACACTCTGAATTGGTGTCACACCACTGGGTTCTTTTCACTTTTTTGATAATGGGGATTTAGATCTCATTGAGGCAGCACAGAAGTTTTAAATTTTCTGTGGTCTAATTTGTTTTTTTAGTATATTTTTATTGATTTTAGAGAGGAAGGGAGAGATAGGAACATGTGCTCTGACTGAGAATCGGACTATGACTTCCTGGTTCATGGGTGAACATTCAACCACTGAGCCACACCACCATGTTGTCGCTTATTCTTTTAGTGTTATATTACTACTACTCTTTAAGGGAGTGTTGATTAGGCCTTGGGTTTAAGATTTAGTAACAGATAGTAGTGATGCAGTTAACAGGGCTATAGAATGCAGAGGGGAAGGGTGTGTGTTTTAGGATTGGGAAATAGTTGGGCAATAGAAGGTAGTAAATTCCATTTTTTAGGTATTGTACTGAGTTTAAGGTACAGAGAAGACAAAGAAATATTAAATGGCCAGTTTGAAATATATGTCTGGAGGAAAGGAAGGAAATCTGGACAAGAAAATGAAGGCAATTGAGAGACATCCTCTTAGAATGATGGGTGAAGCTACAGAAATAGATGACATTTACCCCCAAGGGGGTAGCATCTAAGAGAAAAGGGGGCATAAACAAACAGCCTCATGAAGATTATTTACCTGTTTTGGGGGAGTGTGTGGAGGGATATTTGGAGGAAAAAACAGCACTATGTCATAGGGACAAGGGAACATACAGCAAGGAGGAGGATGTGATTGGCAGCATCACACAGGAAGTGGAAAAAGGAGGATAGGGAAGAGACACTTGGTACAAAGAAGTCACTGATGGTCTTTAGCAGGGCTGTGGGATAGCAAATTTGGACTGAGGGTGTCAGTAGCTGGGAAGACAGCAACGATATGCAGTAGTTTGAAAAAAAAGAAGAAAGGTAGTTTAACAGAAATGCAGAATGACACAAGGTTTTTATTTTTGTTTTGCTTTTGAAGATTAGGGGGTAAGTATTTTGTGAGCTAAGGGGAAGGAGAGAGAAAAGATTCAATGGGAGGGATTCATTGATAAGTCTAATTTTTATAGTTGGGATGGACTGAGTGATGAGTAGAAGAATTAACCTTACAGCTTAATTTCACCAACAGCCTCCCCCATTTCTTGAGGCAAATTTCCTACTATTCTTTTTTAACTTTTTTTTTTTTTTTTTTTTTTTTTTTACCGATTTCAGAGAGGAAGGGAAAGAGAGGTTGAGATAGAAACATCAATGATGACAATCATTGGTCTGCTGTCTCCTGCATGCCCTCTACTGGGGATCAAGCCACAACCTGGGCATGTGCCCTGAGACCCTTCAGTCCACAGGCTGACACTCTATCCACTGAGCTAAACCTGCGAGACCCTAATATTCTATAGTATAGTGTTTGTGTCACCACTTTGGGAAAGAATGATCTAGTTTAAGAGCATGTCAATGTTAGGGACTTTATCATTAAGGGATAGCCTCTGGAACATAATCATTATGGTAATGGTAGGTTGGTGGACAAAGTAAGGAAAGGAAGAGGGTCCCTTTGCTTGGCTCTAGAGGGCAAGGTAGTAAGAATGGATATAAATGCAGGTAATGAAGGTGAAGAGAGAAGTTGAAGTTCACAGTGAGTAGCCTCCATCCCATCAGTTGAGTAGGAGATAGTGGACTGCTAATAGCAAGTAGGGTAGAGGTTCCTACCATCAGTCTTTTTTGCCCTCATTTTTTAACTTGTATTTTCATTATAGTTATATAATACTAGTGATCCAGTGCACAGATCATGTACCTTGAAAGGAAATTAATTAGAAGATGGCCAATGGGGCGGGACTGGGTGAGATGAGCCTGACACGCCCTGGAACCAACCTCCTGCACTCTCTCCCCTGCCAGCCGGCTCTGCCCAGGGTGTTCCATTGGCTCACAGGGCGTCTGTGGAGTGAGTAGGTCCCTCCAGCAGATGAAGTCCCTTGACCTGCCCTGCAGGGTTTGGGCCAAAATTGGCTCTTCGACATCCCCCGAGGGGTCTCCAAGTGCGAGGACACTCTGCAAAGTTGATGTGCAACAAACCAGATTCGGGGCCAGTACCCCAGCAACAACATAACCCATTACTAAAGGTGGACTCGCATGGCCCTGCGAGGAATCAGGCTCTCTCCTCTCTGGTTTTGAGGTGCATCACCTGAGAACCACTGCTGCCAAGTCACTGCAACTCAGCAGCTCCTGTGTTGAGCATCTGCCCCATGGTAGTCAGTGTGCATCATAGCAACCGGTCAGAGGGGCAGCGGGACACTTAGCATATTAGCTTTTATATATATAGACTAGAGGCCCGGTGCACGAAATTCATGCACGGATGTGTGTGTCCCTCAGCCCAGCCTGCACCCTCTCCAATCTGGGACCCTCTCACAATCCAGGACTGCTGGCTCCCAACTGCTTGCCTGCCTGCCTTCCTGATTGTCCCTAATAGCTTCTGCCTGCCAGCCTGATCACCCCCTAACCACTCCCATGCCAGCCTGATTGATGTCTAACTGATCCCCTGCCAGCCTGTTTGTCTCCAACTTCCCTTCTCTGCCGGCCTGGTCACCCCTAACTGCCCTCCCCTGCAGGGTTGATCACCTCCAACTGCCCTCCCTTGCAGGCCTGGTGCCTCCCAACTGCCCTCCCTTGCTTGCCTGATCACCCACAACTGCCCTCTTGCAGGCCTGATGACTCCCAACTGCCCTCCATTGCTGGCCATCTGTGGTGGCCATCTTGTGTCCACATGGGGGCAGGATCTTTGACCACATGGGGCTGCCATCTTGTGTGTTGGAGTGATGGTCAATCTGCATATTACTCTTTTATTAGATAGGCTAGAGGCCTGGTGCATGGGTGGGGACCATCTGGTTTGCCCTGAAGGGTGTCCCAGATCAGGGTGGGGATTCCTTTGAGGTGAGGGGCGGCCTGGGTGAGGGGACTGTGATAGTTTGCAGGCCAGCCATACCCCCTGACAACCCAAGTGGACACCCTGGTATCTGGTATATATTTACCTTCTACAATTGAAACTTTGTAGCCTGGAGTGGAGTCAAGGCTCCTTCCTGCTCACTCAGTGGCTTTTGCCATTTCTGTTTGGATTTCTTTACCTTCTTTAATTGAAACTTTGTACCCTTGAGTGGAGGCCTACATTGGCAAGGGCAGGCAGAAAGCCTGGCTTCTTCCATTGCCAGAGAAACCCAAGCCTCCCTCCTGCTCTCTGTGGCTGTAGCCATATTGGTTGGGGTTGATTTGCATATTCACTCTGATTGGTTGGTGGGTGTGGCTGGTGAATATAGCAGAGGTATGGTCAGTTTGCATATTACTCTTTTATTAGATAAGATAGTACATAGATTTCTTGTCATTGTAAATAGTGGAGCAGCGCACCTCTGTTGAATTTTAACACCATATTTTGTGTTCCTAGTTGATGCTTTCTGAGTGGTTAATTGACGTCCCTTCAGATTTGGGGCAGGAATGGATTGTGGTTGTGTGCCCTGTTGGAAAAAGAGCACTCATCGTGGCCTCCAGGGTAAGTAGCTGCCTCCTCTTACATCACCAAGTCTTATCTGTAGTAAGAGGGATTCTTTGCACTTCATGTTCCTTGTTCACCACAGCAGCTGTGCCTAGATAGCATGGGGATTGAAACACTTGCCTGTAGGAAGATTTTTTGAGAGCTATCTTTGGCCTCTGCAGAATGTGGGAGCAAGAGTGTGAGGAGAACTGATGTCTAATGGTACCTTTCTTTCCAAATAGGGTTCCACCAGTGCCTACACCAAGAGTGGTTATTGTGTCAACAAGTTTTCTTCACTTCTACCAGGAGGCAACAAGCGAAACTCAACAACATCAAAAGGCACCTACATGAAATTGTCTTTTTTTTTTAGTTTATGATTATTATTATTTTTTAATATATTTTATTGACTTTTCACAGAGAGGAAGAGAGAGGGCTAGAGAGCTAGAAACATCGACGAGAGAGAATCATCAATCAGCTGCCTCCTGCACACCCCCTACTGGGGATGTGCCTGCAACCCAGGTACATGCCCTTGACCAGAATCAGTCCGCAGGCCGACGCTCCATCCACTGAGCCAAACTGGTTTCGGTGTTTATTAAGTTTTTTAATCAGTAAAAGATAATGTAAGTTTCTTGGTCATTTCTTTTAAAGATCCACTTTGAAAGCATGCCTTTGAAACTGTATAGACACCATCCTGCCCACTGAATTCAGGCCATTTCCTTCAATGTCAGCCCTTTAGCAGCAGAGTAGATGCAGCCCAATGAGGCCTGCTTGGTAAAAAAATTCCCTCAATCAAAATTAACATGCCTGGCCCATGAACTGCCATTACAAGGTAACAGCTACAGTTTATTGGAGAAAGTCCTTTAGAATGCTGAGTATAATGTACAGTTGCTGGGGCTTCCCTGCTGAATTCCCATTTTTCGTTTATCATTATACTAACCTTAACTTCTCTCTCCCACCTAAGCCTAGCTGAGGAGACTAAGATCATGGAGGTGAAATAACTTGCTCATGGTCATTCAGTGACAAAGTGGCGGAGCTGGCCCAAACTCTGCTCTCTTCCCTGCCTGCTATGGTTCCCTTGCTGGTTCCTCATGTCCTCAGTACTGAGCCCAATTTCTCCACTGACTTTTAGAGCTGCTCATTCATGGGCTTTGATCTACCCTACTTTTTATCTTTCCCCTACTCTCCATATCTACCCTTAGCTCTGTTCCATTGGTTTGCCTTCTTGCTCCCCTCAGTGTACTCAGTTTATTTTACCTCTGTGCCTTTTCTCATGCCAATTCAGTATTCTGGCCTGGAATGCCCTCCCAACCCTCTGCCCTGTTGTTTTAATTCTCTTAACCCAGAAGAGTGTGTTCATATCACATGTCTTCTATAAAGCACTTCCTACTGCTCCAATCCCTTTTTTTTTTTCTTCTGGAATTCCTGTTGTTCTTAGTTTGTGCTATAGTTTAGCTCTTGGTTCTTTCCTCTGTGATCATCTTATCTCCTTAATTGGATTGTGATTTTTTTTTTTTTTTTTTTTTTTTTATTGGCTTTTCACAGGAAGGGAGAAGATACAGAGTTAGAAACATCAATAAAACAGAAACATCGGTCAGCTGCCTCCTGCACACCCCCTACTGGGTATGTGCTCGCAACCAAGATACATGCCCTTGACCAGAATCGAACCTGGGACCCTTTGGTCCGCAGGCTAACATTCTATCCACCGAGCCAAAACCAACTAGAGCTAGATTGTGATTTTTGTTGTTAATCCTCACCGAAGGATATTTTCTCCTCTTTTTTTTTTAAAGAGAGAATAGAAGGTTGGGGAGAGAGTAAAACATCCATGTCAGAGAGGCACATTGATCAGTTGCCTCCCGCACCCAGTCCGGGATCAAACCTGTAACTCTTGCCCTAACCAGTTTGGCTCAGTGGACTCAAGAGTCCCAGGTTCGATTCTGGTCAAGGGCATGTACCTTAGTTGCAAGCACATACCTAGTGGGAAGTGTGCAGGAGACAGCTGATCGATGTTTCTCTCTCATCAATGTTTCTAACTTTCTATCCTTCTCCCTTACTATTATAAAATATCAATAAAATATATTTTTTTTAAAAAAACTTTTGCAACTCTTTGGTCATAGGCCCATGCTCTCACCACTGAGCCATGTTGGTGAGGACAGATTGTAACTTTCTTACAGGCAGGGACTACGTGCAGGTAATGTTCCCCACAAAACACTATTCCCATGATAGTAACTCAAAAGTAATTATAAACTGCCGAAACCGGTTTGGCTGAGTGGATAGAACATCGGTCTGCGGACTGAAAGGTCCCGGGTTCTATTCCAGTCAGGGGCATGTACCTTGGTTGTGGGCACATCCTCAATGGGGGGTGTGCAAGACGTAGTTGATCAATGTCTCTGTCTCATTGATGTTTCTAGCTCTCTATCCCTCTCTCTTCCTCTCTGTAAAAAGTCAATAAAATAAAATGCTTTCAAACTTGAGCTTCTGTAAGTAAATGTTCTAATTTATATAAAAGCTCAGAATTTCCACTTGGCTTAGGGGTTGCCTTGATCCCTCCTATATTGTCCTACCTCAGGTCACCATTCTTCAGGTGGGTTGTGAAGAATGCCTTCCCCACTAATTCTCACACCTTAATGCTGGTGCTTGCTGCAAGTACCAAAGATTATTGAATTCTGTTTCCAAGCCCTAAGATGGGCTTCCTATATTGTGGTGGAGGGAACCCTGATTGGAAGGGGACCCTGTACTGACTTTCTGCATTGTGTCCCAGACTATACCATTCTGGACTGCATTTACAGTGAGGCAAAGCAGACCTACTACATTCTGGATGTGATGTGCTGGCGGGGCCACCCTTTTTATGACTGCCAGGTAAGGAACAATAATCTCATGTGTTCTGTTTTCTCCATTTCTTACATCTTTGAGTTTGTTTAAATTAGCTTTTCTTTTTAAACATGGAATGCTTCATGTATTTGCAGGTCATCCTTGCACAGGGGCCATGCTAATCCCTGTATTGTTCCAATTTTAGTATATGTGCTGCTAAAGCAAGCACAATATAGTAAATTCTTGAGGGGAGGAAAGAAAGAAACAGAGCAGTAGAGTAGGCTGGGACTTTGTATGGGTTGCAGCTGCCCCCTGCCCTCTCCAGCGTCTTGGGAGGATTGTTGTCAGTGAAGACTGTAGGTTGAAGGGAATGCCTTTAATCAAGATAGAGAAGTTGAAATGTAAGACATCATCTAGTAGACTTGGAGAAAGTCAGGACAGGGGAAAAAGAACAATTGTGAATAAAAAATGGGAATAAGTATGTACTATCAACAATTATTTTAAATGTAAATGGTTAAGTGCCCCAATTCTACCTATTAAAAGAATAATATGCAAATTAACCATCACTCAGCTCCACAAGCCACACCCATAAGCCAATCAGAGCAAGTATGCAAATAAAGGCAAACAGATGGCTACAGCCAGGACTGGTTTGGCTCAATGGATAGAGCGTCAGCTTGGGGACTGAAGGGTCCCGGGTTCGATTCACACCCTCTACTGGCATGTACCCAGTAGGGGGTGTGCAAGAGGCAGCTGATCAATGACTCTCTCTCATCGATGTTTCTAACTCTCTATCTCTCTCCCTTTCTCTCTGTATAAAAATCAATAAAATATATTTAAAAAAAAAAAAAGATGGCTACAGCCACAGAGAGCAGGAGGGAGGCATTACCCCGGCAACAGAGGAAGCCAAGCTTTCCACTTGCCCTTGCCTGCCTAAGCTTCCACACAAGGCTACAAAGTTTCAATTATAGCAGGTAAACAAACCGGAACAGAAATAGCTATTGATTGCCACCACTGAGCAAGCAGGAGGCTTGGCTCCATTCCAAGCTACAAAGTTTCAATTGTAGAAGGTAAATATATCCCAGATACCAGGGCCTCCCCTTGGGTTGCTGGGGGGCATGGCTGGCCTACAAACCACCACAAGCCCTTCGCTCAGAGGCCCTTTTCCTCCTGCCAGCCTTGGGCTGAGAGGGAGGAGAACCCCTGCAAATTACTGGATCTTTAAGGGAGTCTGTCCCCTCCAAGTCCTGCAGATACCTCGTGACCAGAGGGGACCAGGGTGTGTGCCCACACAAGTGCAAGAAGCACTGGTCATTGCATCTTGGATGCTAGTTGCTTATGTGCAGTGTAAGCCTACCTCTAGGCATCCACCTTGCAGAGGTGGCATTTGCTCTGCTCCCTTTGTGGCCGCAGAGCATGTGACCTTGCTGCTAGTTATCAGGGCTGGGAGCACAATAGCTGCTGGTGGTGCATGATCCACTGGAGAGCTGCTGCCAAGAACTTTCCAAAGGACCCAGCCCAGATTCCATACTCCTTCTGGCGGCGTCCTCTGGCAGCGGTAGGACTGGGAGAGCTTTTATTGTTTTTCCACAGAGAGGGATAGAGAGCTAGAAACGTCGATTAGAGAGAAACACCGACCAGCCGCCTCCTGCACACCCCCTACTGGGGATGTGCCCGCAACAAATATACATGCCCTTGACTGGAATTGAACCCAGGACCCATCAGTCCACAGCCCAACGCTCTTTCCACTGAGCCAAACCAGTTTTGGCGGGAGAGCTTTTCATATTTGCAAATGTGTGACTCGTGGCTGCCTTGTGTTTTTCCTATTGCATTTGTTGGACTTGGAGAATTGATCCCCCTAATTGGACACCAGGAAGACTCAACTCATAACATATGATTTTTTAATTAATTTTTCGTAACATTTGTTGCTCCTATTTCTAGGCAATGAATGTGTTATAAACGTTCTATTTTCCATTGATAGAATTTGTTGATTGTAATTATTCTATTTCAGTATGATTCATTACCTGGTGTTATATTATGCCTTTGTCGTTTTTATCAGTGGAAAACTGATGCTGCAAAATAATAAATGTATTTTAAAAATTTTTAAATAATGCCAGGACCGGTTTGGCTCAATGGATAGAGCGTCGGCTTGGGGACTGAAGGGTCCCGGGTTCGATTCCGGTCAAGGGCATGTACCCTGGTTGCGGGCACATCCCCAGTAGGGGGTGTGCAGGAGGCAGCTGATCGATGACTCTCTCTCATCGATGTTTCTGACTCTATCTCTCTCCCTTCCTCTCTGTATAAAATCAATAAAATATGTTTTAAAAAAATATATAAAAATTTTTAAATAATGACAGAAAACTTTTCCCACCTGGTGAAAGAAATAGACTTTCAAGTCCAGGAAGCGCAGAGAATCCCAAACAAGAGGAATCGAAAGAGAATCACACCAAGACACATCATAATTAAAATGCCAAGGGCAGCCGAGACCGATTTGGCTCAGTGAATAGAGCATCTGCCTGCGGAATCAGTTCGATTCCAGTCAAGGGCATGTACCTTGTTTGCAGGCACATCTTCAGTAGGAGGTGTGCAAGAGGCAGCTGATTGATGATTCTCTCTCATTGATGTTTCTAACTCTCTATCCCTCTCTCTTCCTCTCTGTAAAAAATTAATAAAATATATTTTTTAATAAAAATAAAAATAAATAAAATGCCAAGGGCAGAAGACAAAGAGAATCTTAAAAGCAGCAAGACAAAACAGTTAGTTCGGGAGTACCCATACGAATGTCAGCTGATTTCTCAACAGAAACTATGCAGGCCAGAAGGGATTGGCAAGAAATATTCAAAGTGAGGAATAGCAAGAACCAACAACCAAGATTACCCAGCAAAGCTATTGTTTAGAATTGAAAGTCAGATAAAGAGCTTCACAAACAAGAAAAAGCTAAAGGAGTTCATCACCACCAAACCAGTATTATATGAAATGCTGAAAGGTATTCTTTAAGAAAAGGAAGAAGAAGCAAAAGGTAAAGATAAAAAAAATTATGAACAACGAGTGACAACAAATACATATCTATCAACAGTGAATCTAAAAATTAAAGGAATAAAAAAAATCGGATGAACAGAATAAACTGGTGAATGTAATGGAATCAGGGTCATGGAAAGGGAATGAGTGTACTGACAATTCTCAGGTAGAAGGGGGTGTGGGGGATGCGGGAAGAGATTGGACAAAGATCTTACACCTATAGATGAGGACGGGGCGGAGGGGGGAGGAAGTGAGGGCCTAAGTTGGGGGGGACCAGGTGGAGGGGAGCTATGGTGGGGGGGGGAAATATCTATAATCTGAACAGTAAAGATTTTTTTAAGTGTGGTAAAACTGTCATATTTAATGGACACATAGAACCATAACAATTCCACCAAAAATTAATAGAAGAAATTGAAGAAGGTACAAATGAAGCATATATTGTGCTCATGGACAGGAAGAATTAACATCACTAAAATGTCTATACTGTGCAAAGCAATCGAGATTCTTTGCAGTCCTTATCAAAATAACAATGACATTTTTTACAAAAGTAGAAGAAATAATTCTAAATTTGTATGGAACCCAAAAAGGCACTAAAAGCCAAAGCCATCTTGAGAAAGAAATAACAAAGTTGGACATGTCATGCTACCTGATATTAAACTATATTTCAAAGTTGTAGTAATCAAAATGACATGGTACTGGCTTAAAAGCAGATTCGTAGTTCAATGGAACTGAAGAGAAAGCCCCAAAGTAAACCTAAACTCTATGGTCAATTAATAAAGGAGGCAAGGATATTAAATGGGATAAAAATAGTGTATTCAATAAATAGTGTTAGGAAAACTGGACAGAATTGTGCAAAAAGTGAAACTTGACCACCACCACCTTAATCCATTTTGAGTTTATTCTCGTATATAGTTTAAAGACTTAAATGTAAGACTCAGAATCATAAAAGTTTTTTTTTAATGTTTTTTTAATTGATTTTTAGAGGGTGGGGAAAAGAGTGATAAAAATATCAGTGAGAGGAATATTATCGATCATCTGCCTCCTGTACACCCCCAACTGGATATCGAGCCTGCAACCTGGGCATGTGCCCTGACCAGGAATTGAACCATAACCTCTTGCTCAACCACTGAGCAACACTGTCTGGGCAAACTGAAAAGTTTTTTTTTTTTGTTTAATATATTTTATTGATTTTGTACAGAGAGGAAGGGAGAGAGATAGAGAGTCAGAAACATCGATGAGAGTGAGTCATCGATCAGCTGCCTCTTGCACACCCCCTACTGGGGATATGCCCGCAACCAGGGTACATGCCCTTGACCGGAATCGAACCCGGGACCTTTCAGTCCCCAAGCCGACGCTCTATCCATTGAGCCAAACCGGACCCGGCGCAAACTGAAAAGTTTTTGCATAGTAAAGGAAATAGTCAACAAAAGAAAAAGACAGCCTGAATGGGAGACTATATTTGCCAATAATATATGTGATAAGGAGTTAATATGTAAAATTTATAAAGAATTCACAACACCAAAAATCAAACTTCCCAATTAAAATATGGGCAAAGGAGCCGGGACCAGTTTGGCTCAATGGATAGAGCGTCGGCTTGGGGACTAAAGGGTCCCGAGTTCGATTCCGGTCAAGGGCATATACCCTGGTTGCGGGCATATCCCCAGTAGGGGGTGTGCAAGAGGCAGCTGATCGATGACTCTCTCTCATCGATGTTTCTAACTCTCTATCTCTCTCACTTTCCTCTCTGTATAAAATATATTTAAAAAAATAATAATAATAAAATAAAATAAAATATGGGCAAAGGACCTAATAGACATTTATTCAAAGAAGTCATACAGATAACCAATGGAAAGATAAAAAATGCTCTATGTCACTAATCATCAGAGAAATGCTAATTAAAACCACAATGAGATATTATGCTTGTTAGAATGACTATCATCAAGAAATCAGCAAACACCAAGAGTTGGGGATGTCATCCATGAAAAAGAATGCAATCTCACTATTTGTGACAACATGGATAGACCTACAAAAAA